ATATCACCCCCAAACCACTAACCTATTCTCCAGTTTTGGTCCCAGCACCCAGGACTTCCTCATTTACATGTCTGTGTCCTTGAGGACAGGACAATGTCTTATTCAGCTCTGTATCATCAGTGTCCAGTGCAGAGCCTGACCCAGAGCAGGTGTTTTGTAGATGCTGTTGAGTCAGACTGAAAACAGAGAGAGGCCTTCTGTTATGAGGACAAGGATCTAATAAGACAGGCACATGAGAAATATGGGGACTCAAAGTGGCTATTTTAGTGCTGAACACAAACACCTAAGATGCATCTGTGTCTTTTCTTCCAGCTGCTTCCCCTCCAACCCTGAAGTCACAGGTGCGCACTTACCTGAGAGCATATAGGACCGTGCCGTTGGAGAAGAGACGGATGAGCCTGTTTCCCACAGTGACTTCATGGAGGAAGGATTTCTTGGACTCCACGATGTAAGTGTCTGGTACCCAGAGGAACTCCACAAGGCGGGCGTCCAGAGTGAAGCTCTTGTTGCCTTCAAACACCAGCCGCTGGTCCTTCCAGCGCTGTCGGAGGTATATGGTGGCTGTGTAGTCCTGAGGGGGAGACAAGGGATGGAAATGATGGGCACAGAGTGGTGAGGGGGAAAAAGACTCCAAAAACAGAAGAAGAAGAGTCAAACTTTACTCTCCTCCCCACTTCCACTTAGATCAAGATCACACAGACATTGGTGAATAGTGCTATGTCTTGGGGTAGTGCCCTACAGCAATAAGAGACCAAACTGCCTATTGATTCTAGATAATAATTCTTACCGCTGAAAGGGAAACCCACGTTCAGGGCCTTAACTTACTTCACATGAAAGCTCACATTGCCCCAGATCACAAAGGTGCTACCAAATCATTGGTTTGGGGTGGACTAAGTATCCAAGTTGTCCAAGATTTACCTGGAATGCACAGTGGGCCCTCTTAGCAAACTGCCTTTAGTTTGAACTTGTCTTTATTAGCACCACACTCTCCCATTTTTTTTTTAAAGATGACTGGTAAGGAGATCTTAACCCTTGACGTGGTGTTGTCAGCACCACATTCTCTCCCAAATGAGTCACGGGCCGGCCCTTAATGTGTTCTCCTAAGTGAGAGGGTCATTCAAAGCAATCATTTGATTGACAGTTTCATCAGCTTTTCTCCTTCTCTATGAAGGACCATATGATAGTCAGGCTCCTACGTTACACTGGTTTTCTTTTTCCCAATTTTTATCCCTCACCAAATGCACCCACTTCATTTCTGGGTTTCTTGTTTCCTGGTCTGTTGTGGATTGAATGTCCCCCAAAACTCACTGGAAACAATCTCCATTGTAACAGTGTTAAGAAGGTGGGAAGTCCTATTATGGTAATTGAAAGGTGGGGCCTTTAAGAGTTGATTAGATCATGAGGACTGTACCCTCATGGATGGATTAATCTATTGATGGTTTTATGGGTGGTCATGGATAATGTTTTTTTTTCCTTTTTGTCTTTTTTCGTGACCAGCAACGGATCGCAACCCTCAGTGTCGCGCCCGTACTGGACCGGGACCGGCAACGGGATCGCAACCCTCGGTGTTGCGCCCACCCCTCGCTCAGCCAGTGAGCGGCTGGTCTGTATGTGGGATCCGAACCCTCGGC